TCTCTCTGTGTGTGTGTGTGTGTGTGTGTGTGTCCTGCCTTGGATCATGCCCTGAATACACCCACTCAGATAGCTCCCACTTGGCGGCTATGGCCGCCCTATCTCCTACTTCCGTACCCTAGCTATGGAGTCTCTTCCAGCGCCTTCTTCAACCTCCAGGCATGTCATGCCCAAGCTGCCTCAACGCACAAGCAGCAGCAGCGCTTCCGCATCTCGCAAGTGAAACAAGTTTGTTCGGTTTCTGCGCTGTAGCAGCTAAAGAATAGGACTTGGCTTGGCCTGCCTCAGACCGGTCCCAGCAAAGTCCAGAAACGTCCAGTCCCAAGTCCCAAGTCCCACAAAATTGCAGCAAATCCCAGGAAAGTCTGTTGCAATCATTTTGTCGGTCCGGTTGCTTCCTGACTTTCCTGGGACTTGCTGCAATTTTGTGGGACTTGGGACTTGGGACTGGACGTTTCGGGACCTTTTTTTTTTTTCGTTTCTGGTCTTTGCTGTCGGGTACCGAGCTAACTGCGCAACGGAGTACACTTCCCCCCCCTCCCCCTACACACACATCCAGCAAAATCGGAATAACGAGTACCTTTTCCGGATGTTTCCTGTCTTAGACCTACGACGCTTCAACTGGCTTATCGGACCTACCCCACGTGATGCTGGGACTTGGGACTTGGGAACCTTCAGGCAGGACCGTGGGACCTTTCATGCCGGGTTCTCAGGTGTCTGCAGCGTGGAAATCCTTTCAATATGGTTGAACCGAGAATCAATGTCTGAATGGTCTCCTTCGTGATAGATGGTCTTGTGAAGGAGCACTCGTCAGCTTCTCTACTCCCAAACTCTCTCCTTGTTAGCTCTTCTATATCCACTGTGTTGTCCACACCAGCTGGTCTACTCCCAAACTCTCACCCTGTGATGCACAAAAAAGAGTAGACAGCCCACAAAAAGATGGGCCCCCCCTTTCCCTTCTGGAGCGGCATTTCCTCAGTTGTTGGTGAAGTCGCCGCAGAGTCTACCTAAAAAAGAACCCTATAAATAAAAGGCGTTGTTCTTTCATCTAGCGTCTTGCTGCAGATGTGGGATCGGTTATCGTGACCCCGCACCAATCTTCAACCCCGCGTAGGAGGGGTGAAGATCACGAAGGGGGGTGAAGATGGCAGTCCACCATAAGCCTATCTAAGGACGGCATTGTGCCATGTCAAGTTATGAAAAAATCTTTTTTTTTTTTTTTTTTTTTTGGGAAGTTGCCTGCAATTTGGGTTTGCCGCTGCGATTAATCCTACTAGGAGAAATTTAGGAGTCATGGGTGTCGGGGGAAAAAAAAAAAAAAAAAAAAAAAGGAGTCATGGGTGTCTATAGGACTCCCATCTCCATCGTTGATCTGTTAGTATGTTGTGGCCTTGGATCCAGCTTCTGTCCACACACGGAATTGGAACGGCACCCTTAGCCGCTAGAAGGCCAAGTCTTTGTGCCAGTGGATTCACAAGAAGGTACAAATTGACTCCACTGACTCCTCACTGATACTGTCTGTAGACTCTGTACCTTGGATCCATTGTAACTGTAACTGTAACTTGGATCCAATCTTTTTTTTTTTTTTTTTTTTGAAAAAACAGGGCCTTATGGTCCTGGCTCCTTCTATTCTGGGGAGCGTCAGTCCGGTTCCTATTCCACCGGCAAGTCATGGACCGTCCAATTTGCTGACCTCCCCCGACCGCTAATGGTCTTCAGAGTCGCCGCTAACGATAACGGGCACTGTACGCTGCAAGCGTACGACATTCTTACTCCGGGGACCAGATTCTCCAAACTCAAAAGAAACGAAAACCTTGACGGGTCAGCGAATTCGGCGGGGCTGATGCAAGTTCGGGTGGTGGGGGACTCGCAAGATGGCTTCTCTGTATTCGAGCCTTCGATCCCCGTGGCCAAGCTCCCGTTCGACCCGGCCGAATGGGAATGGCCTGGCCCCAAACCCATGAACATCTGGGAATATACAGTCAAAGGTGGCTATAGGGCCTCGGGGACCGACCTCGGGATTGGCCAAAAGTTGTCGGCCAGATGGGTGCGTGGTTCACCCTTGGACCCGAAGGTGACAGACGATCTACCGTGGACTAAGTACGCCAAGATTATGCCCACGAATCTGCAAGCCCTCCAGTGGCAAATCACCCACCGGTGCCTGCCCACTCCCGACTGGCTGGTGTCCCGTACTGACCTCGAACAGAAAGGACTGCTATTGCCTTTGTGCGCCTACTGTGGCAGAGGGACGCCGCCGGCCAGAGCCACCTTGGAACACTGTTTACTGGCTTGTCCCATGGTCGCTCAACTCTGGCAGTGGTGGGATGCAGCCTTTCGTTCCCTTACCGGGGAGCATGTTCCATGGGACCTCGGCCTACTGCTGCTCGGTAAAAATCAGCGCCTGATGAACCAATGGTCTGCCTATGCAACTAATCTGTTCTCCTATACGAGACTACAAGTCCTAATGCTGGCCTGGAGGGCCAGATGCTCGTTTGAAAGG